AGACGGAGTCTAGCTCTTGATCTTGGCCCACTGCAACCTCTGCCTCTCGGGTTCAAGCGATTGTCCTGCTTCAGCCTCCCGAATAGCTGGACTACAGGCGCGCGACACTACGCCCGGCTAATTTTTTTATTATTTGTAGAGGCGGGGTTTCACCATGTTGGCCAGGATGGTCTCGATCTTTTGACCTTGTGATCCGCCCACCTCGGCCTCACGAAAGCGCTGGGATTACAGGTGTGAGCCACCGCGCCCGGTCTGTCTTTTGAATCTTAACTCATACTAATATCCTTATTTCCGTACCTATCTACTTGTACCCCTGCGCCTGGTTTAACTGTAGTCGTAAATTCCTAATATGCTCCAAATAACCCTTGCCCTCACTGGTTAAGAAGCGCCTTTTCCATATTTTTTCGTATCCTGAGGCCTAATTAAACCACTTCTTTTATTTTACTTTATATTGGGGGTAGGGACACCGAGAACACTCAGGTCCAGGGAAGACCCAGAGCTGCTGCTCTACAGCGCCGCCCTTCCTGGCGGCGCGCGCGGCTCACCCCGCCGGCCCAGGGCAGTGTACCTAATCATGTTCTCTCTCCAAGGTCTAGCAGCACTTTTCAAACATTTCTTTAAAAACCGATCATTACTAGGAAGTATTGTGCAGCTCGTTTAGTGCGCCAGAGTGGAACTGGGGCGGAGGGGAAGAGGCACCCTAAAAGACCCATGCAGGAAAGGTTGGCTAATTTGGAAGAGGGACTAATGGGGGACGCGGGAAAGACTCCGAGGCTGGAGCTTTTTAAGTGTTCTATTGGAGTCACCTTAGTTTTTACCGGATAAGAAATGCCCAGTGTGGGCTTCTCGTTCACGTGGAAAGGTTACCAGCGCCGTCCAATCCCTTCCTGACCACTTCTTGTAGTATATACATATAGAGAGAGAGCGAGAGAGACATAGAAGATGAGCCCGGGAGGGGACGCGAGAGGAGACTGGAGCCGGGGAGGCGGAGGGAGGGAAGCACGGAGAGAGGGGGAGAGCATTTTCTCTCCGGGGGCGGTAGGTGGTGCGGCCTCCTCCTCGCCCTCGGGCGGGGCCCAGGCCCCTCACGTGCTGCACGACCAGCCCCCGCACCCAGCTCCGCGCACCTCCCACCCTCGGGGCCCGCTCCGGGATCCCGCCAGACGGGGACTGATGGGATCGCAACGCCAGCGGGGCCAGCGACCCAGTGGCGCTCATAAATGAGTTTCTTAAATGCCATTTTGACAGAACACACGCTACCCCCTCTTTCCTTCTTCCCAGATCCTTACAACTGCAAGCCAACTCCTAGCAAGACTCCATCACTGCCTCCACTCTAAACGTTTCATCCTTGAAGCCGCCTTTCCGAAACTCTCGGGGAGACAGGCGCCAAAGCATTTCCTACCAACCTGTCTCTCATATAAATATGGGGGGTAAGAAAACTTATTAAGGGGGTACGGTTGAGCACTGGACAGCCAGGGCTCCCCACTCACAACTTGCACAGACTCTAGCCTCTCCTCACCCCGAGGCGCCCCGACCTCCAACTCCCCAGAGGGGCCAGGAAATCACTGGCACATTCAGCCATCTCCCGCAGGCCACACTTGCCCTCCCCCAGCCCCGTTTCCAGAGCAGCCGGGGGTCAAAGCCCCAGGCGCCCCTACTGTCCCGCACCCGGCGCTATGGCGGGGCCTCCGGGGCTGGTGGCCGAGACCTCCGGCCGGGAGCATTGTTTACCTCCCGCAACAAAAGCGCACCGAGCGTCCCGGGGTCGGGGGTCGCAGCGGGAAGCCAGCCCACCCCAGCAGTCGCGGGAGAGTCCCGGACGCTGAGTCCCGGCTACGTCCAGCCCGCGCAGAGCGCCGCCTCCCGACGCCCCTCGGGCCTCGGCGTCCGGGTCCTTGCTCCCGGCACCCCTGCCCTCTGCCCCGGCCCCAACTCACCGCTGGCCGGGTCACACTCCCAGGGCAGCGCACGGCCCCCAGTTCCAAGCCTGCACCAGCCCTCGGGCAAACTTTCCAACTCGCGTCCGTCCCTACAACTTTGGAGCCCGGGGCCCCGGCGGGCGCGAGGGGCGCGGGCGGGTCGGGGAGGACGCCTAAGGGCTCCCAGCACAGTCTAGGCCCAAACCCCGGAGGTGGGGAGCGGCTTCCCAAAGGTCCACAGAGGAGAGAGGCAGGTAGGGCTGCATGACTTGGGCGGGGTAGGGGGGTGTCCCGGGGGGGCAGACCCGGGAGTAGAGGGGCCAGCGGCAGCGCGCACAAAGCGGCGCCGGAGCAGACTGCGCGGCCACTCCCCGCCAGGTCAGCCCCCCGGAGCAGCAGTGTCTCCCCAGGACAGATCTCAGGGAGTGAAGCTGGGGCTCTGCCTTCGCTGGACCCTGCACAGTTGAGCGAGAGGCAAAACGCGAGCTGGATTAACCCAAACTGGAGCTGGACTCCCCTCTCGACCCCCCTCTCCCTCCCCCTCCTCCTCCTTCTCCTCTCTCAACTTCTCTCTCTTTTAAGAGGTAGAGAGGTGTCAAGGTTTGTCATTACCTTTTTTCCCAGGGCAGCCTTAGAAAAAGTTTTTAGGATCTCTAAATTGCACGTTTACAGATGCATGAAGAAGGGGCCAGGTCAGAGATGACACCATTGAGCAATATCTAAGTCACCAGCAACGGAAAACCGCCCTCAACACCAAAAAGAGAAACCAGATGAGGACGGTGTTCCTTGACTCTGCGCTGGATGTCTGCAAAGGTCATCATAATATTTCTGTTAGTTATTTGGCAATGGACCTCAGTGGCGGTCATACTCACTTTATGAATGAAGAAATGAAAGGGCAGGAAAAGCTATGTTTTCCACATGAGGAGGAATAACCAATGGCATTACGCCAGAATTAAAAGTCACTATGGCATCTGAATTTTTCTCCAAATGTTTGATGGTTGTTGCTTCTTCCAGCAGTCATTACACAGACAAGGGAATCCAGGACTTTAATGGGGTCACTGTGATAAGGGAAATGCTGGTTCATGGAACCTTCATTCCTTCCAGGTCAAACTTCAACTGAAAAGAAGATTCAGTCCTTCATTGCCTTTCACACCATTCTACCCGCATTCTGCACTTGGATTTTATTCTTTTTTTTTTTTT